GGATAAGTCTACTCGATACGAGGAGAAGTCTACTCGAGACGAGGAGAAGTCTACTCGAGACGAGGAGAAGTCTACTCGATACGAGGAGAAGTCTACTCGAGACGAGGAGAAGTCTACTCGAGACGAGGAGAAGTCTACTCGAGAAGCAAATATAGTTTAGGATTACCTGTTTCAACATAGCTTCTTTGATGTATTTTCGTCCTCGGCAACCGTTGAAAGCCAGCACCGGTGGAGTTGGGTTGTCGGGAAGAGGATTTCCGTAATGCCTCCCAAAATCTGGCATAGCATAATACGCCCAAACTTGGAGCACTTCGGCAAACCCATAGAGAGTAACAGTCTTCGTCAAATCAGCTCTTTTGACAGACTCTATGAGGGTCTTGAAAGCCACACTTCCCCACGGGTAATTTGCAAATGCCTCGACATCCATAACTAGCCTGGTATAGTTCAACCGTGTGGGTGAATCCATCTTCCTTGCCTCGATAAATCCAGCGAAGATGGATAAATATCCTAGCATAAGCTTCTCATCCCTTGTCCACTCCCCAGCACGCTTACATGCTTCAGTAAGTTCATCAACGGTGGGGCCAACATCTATACTAACGCCAAGCTTCTCCCAGAAATATTTCATCTCAGGAGTAACTTCTGCTTCCTACAGTTCCTCAACATCCTCGCAGTTGAGACCGGTGAGTTGTTCAAACTCATTGAGTGAAAACCGAAGTGGGGTTGCATTTATGAGACTCCATATCTCATACTTCTTCTTGCAGTCCAGCTGAAAACCGAGTATAAACTGCACCACCCTCGACGCCCAGCCAAAATTCAGTTTGTAAAACTTTAGAAAAACACCAAGCCTTGATTCCAAAAGCTCTTCCCATATATCTGCTTCCAGTACTGCTTCCAATGCAGGAAACAACTTCCTACTGTTGCTGTAGTAGGCTATACTTTTCCCAGGTTGGGGCTCCTCGTCCTTTGTGAATAATCTCCTTGGAAACTTGGGCTGCTTCTCCATCCTGCAAAACCAAAGATGACATAAATATGTAAGAAATATATAATTATTAGCAAATGGCAGAAGTCTAGTTCAGGAAGAAGTCTACTTTTCTCCGAGAAGTCTACTCGCGAAAAAGTCTACTCGAGAAGAAGTCTACTTAGAGAAGTCTACTCGAAAGAGAAGTCTACTCGAGAAGAAGTCTACTTAGAGAAGTCTACTCGAAAGAGAAGTCTACTCGAGAAGAAGTCTACTCGAAAGAGAAGTCTACTCGAAAGCGAAGTCTATTCTAGAGAAGTCTACTTATACGAATTCTAAAATAAATCACTAGTTACATAAATTACCTTTGCGAACACTGAAATCCGGCGGAGACAACCAACAGCGTCGTCGACATCTGTAAATCCAAACAAAAAATTTCCAAATTAGCGGCGGCGATGATATCTAGGGCAAAAAATTGAATCTAACAGATGCCGGACAAAGAGAAATGAGGACAGAATTACCAGCAGTAACAAGGCGACGAGGCGACAAGGCAACAGAGGCGGCGATGAAAAGAGATGAACGAAATCGATTAAGGTCTATATACAGATAAAGAGATATACAGAAGTGAGAGATCTGAGAGAGGAGAACAGAGATTACCTCCGTTGACAATTTACAAACGGTGGTGATGAGTTGAAGCAGCGGCGGCGACGACGGTATGAACGGCGACAGAAATGGCGAAAGAAATCGCCCAAACGCTGGTTACGAGTCGAGAGAAACTAGGGTTTGTGGAATGGGTTACTTTCTGGTAAAAATGAAATATATAGGCCGGTTAAAAATGGGTTAGTAATATTATTCGGTTCAGTGATTATTTTTATTTTACTCGGACATAACCGGTCAAAGAAGTCTACTTTTGATTCTAATTCGGTAAGAGAAGTCTACTAGATAGAAGTCTACTTTGGTCCGAGACGTCTACTCGATAGAAGTCTACTTCGGTCCGAGAAGTCTACTTAACCCTAAACCCTAAATCAATTTTTTTTAATTAAAACTTATATGAAAACATTAATTACTTACCATATTGACAAGTCATAGTTAAAATAACAAATATATGAACCATGATTCATTAACTGAACCATAAACTATGATTCATATAGAATTTGTGCAAACCCTAAAAATTACACTCTTATACCCTAAACCCTAAACCTCAACCCTAACCCTTTTGATTTGTATACTTATGAAACTTATAAATTGATTTATCTTCATGATTTTTTTTTTATACAGATGCTAAATGTATCTTTTTTAACTGTGTATATAATGTTTTTACCAAATTATTTTTTATAATTTTTAAAATTAGTGGTAAAGAAATTAAAATAAAGTAGACTTCTCCAAGAAGTCTACTCCTGAGAAGTCTACTTTAGAATCCGAGAAGTCTACTTAGTATTGATTTCTAACCTAATTTATCTATGATTATTTAAATTAATTATTTTGTGTCAAATTTTATTTTTAATAGGTGTAAAAAGTATATGTTTTTGTTATTTTGATAATTTTTTCACCAAATTTTTTTTCATAATTTTTTTAATTAATGGTAAATACATTATTCCAGAGTAAACTTCTCGACTTCTCGGAGAAGTCTACTCGAGAAGTCTACTCGAGCTCAAGTAGACTTCTCGGGGATAAAATAGTCATTGCGACGAGCATTTTTTGTTTGGTCAGAAGGGATAATATTGTAATTTTACTATCCCTGTGAGTTATTTTTGTCAAACATGCAATATGGGGTCTAGTTTTGCAATTCAAATCAAGTTTTGAGTCATATTCAGCAATTCCCCCTTTAAAAAAATATTAATTAATATAATTATTTTAAACTAAATTTATTTGTTTATCAAATATTTATTATAGACATATGTTTCTAAAACTACAAAACTATAATCAATAACATTCATATCAAAATCATTACTATTACTTTAGAACTAAATAGAAAGTTCTATTTGAACTGTTGAAATATCAATTTAGTTGAAGTTAAATAATTCAATTTTGGTTACTATAAACATATTGTAACTTTGAAAATTAGCACAGAGAAATTTTATCATTTTACAAAAACTGAGAAATTGCATTTTCCGACAAAACAAAAAAAATATATTTTCCCACAAAACTGAGAAATCGTCTATTCCCGCCAAAACCAAAAAAATTTATTTTCTCGTCAAACCTGAAATTTCATTTTCCTACCAAAACAAATAAATTACATTTTCCTATAAACCAAAAAAATCACATTTTCCCGCGAGAACCTGTGTTTTCCCGTCAAAACAGAGAAATCAAGTTTTTTCACCAAAACCAAAAAATTTCATCTTCGTGCAAAAACAAAAAATAGTATTTTCCCGTCAAAACCAAAAAGATATTTTTCTGCAAAAATCGTCTATTCCCACCACAACAAGAAAAAATTATTTTTCTCGTCAAATCAAGAATCACGTCTTCCTACCAAAACCGATAAATTACAATTTTTTGCGAAAACCAAAAATTGCATTATCTCATGAGAAATTGCGTTTTCCGCAAAAACTAAGAAATCATATTTTCTCTCAAAAATCAAAAAATTAAATTATATGTCAAAAACTGAAAATTTGCATTTTCCATCAAAACCAAGAAATTGTTTATTCCCGCCAAAATCGAAAAATTTTGCTTTTCTATCAATCCGAAAAATTGCATTTTCTGGCAAAATTTTCAAATTACAATTTTTCGCAAAAATCAAAAAATTACATTATCCATCAAAAGCCGAAAAATTGCATTTTCTATGAAAACCGAGAAATCGTATTTTTCGTCAAAATTGAAAAGTTGCATTTCTCTCGCATGTTCTCGTCAAAATCAAATTTTTTATTTCTCACTAAAACCAAAAATTCACATTTTTCCGCCAAACTCGAGATTTCGTTTTTTTCCGCCATAACCGAGAAACTATGTTTTCCTACCAAAACTGAAAATCACATTTTTCTACCAAAACCAAGAAATTCTCTATTTCCGCCAAACCCAAGAAAATTTGTTCTCGGTAACCAGTGGAAATGCGAATCTCCAAGCTGTGGTGGTCTGAGTTTCTCCTCATTTGCTTTCGTCTTCCATTTTTTTTTGTAAACTTTGAGCTTTTTAATGGGTCAACAAAATAGTAAGTTGATTTTATTAGTGTGTTAATAATATGTATTATTGTTATGTTTTTATTGGTTCAAATTTTTGCTGATGTGTGAGCTTCTTATAACATAACATTTTTTGCATTTTTGTTACGGAAGCATAGTTGATGATGAGTCTACACTTTCTTCAATCATGTACATATCTATCAAACAAACACATAGGCATAAATTTTAATTTTTTTTGCTGTTATTTATTATTTGAGTTTCGGTTTGGCAAAAATATAAAAGAAAGATTTAATTTTATTATTTGTTGTTATTTATTATTTGGGTTTGGCAAAAAAATAAAACAAATTTTTTTTTATTTACTGTTATTTATTATTTGAGCTTGGCTTGACTAAAAAATAAAACTAAAATTAATAATAAAAAATAATTGAGTTTTTAATAGGTTTAAATTTAAAAGTTAAATATATTGATGACTTGTATTAATGAAATATTTTTATTAATATTTTTTTTTGCTGAAGTGTCATCTCCTAAAAGCTTGAAAATGCTGATGTCAAGTTATAGAGAATACTTATGAATTATTGTTGTGTTGATTTACTATAGAATTGCTCATTATTTGTAATATTTTTTCCTATTTTATAAAAAATCTGGTGATGACATTTGTCTCCAATTTTTCTTTTGCACCCACGTAAACATATATAAGAAAATAGAAGTAAAATAACAGTATGCTTTTCTAGAAAATTCTTACAAATTCATTATTTTTTCTCCGAATAACAAATTACTTCGATGTTTTGGCAAGATATCTTTGAGTTTGTGGTGTTCAGATTCAATAAAATAATGTCCAACTTCTCTAATCTATATTGATCTCGTCTGCAAATTACAACCATGAAACATTTGTCACATTAGGGCTCCAACTCATGTTTTTAGGGATTTGCCAACAAACTTGTAGAAGACGAATATTGACGGAAAGAAGTGGGTTCGTTATCGTATACACTAACTTTGGGCCAATATTGTAAAAGCCCAATAGGCCCAGTGTAAACGTGCGCAGTAGAGCACGAGTCAGTCAGTGTGACGCAAGCAAAACCTCTGCAAGAACCCTAAAACCTTCCGAAGATCGAAAGGAAACGGGAAAGAGAGAAATGGGGAAAATTCCGTCGTCGTTTCGCTCTCTGACGTCGACGCAACTGGTGAAGAAACCCGCAGCGCCTCCTGCAGCGCCGCCGAGGGATTTTCGCAACGGAATCGCCGGGAGAGAATCCGCGAAACCTTCCGAGGACAGTCGGGAGCCCCTGAGGAATCCTTTCAAGTCCCCAGATCTATCTGATGCCAAATCCCTCTTCAATTCGATCGCCGCCACTTCGAGGATCCCTCTCGACCTCAAATTCCACAACTCCGTCCTCCAATCCTACGCCTCGATCGCCGCCGTCGACGACACGGTGAAATTGTTTCAGCACATCCGGAAATCTCAGCCTGGTTTCTCTCCGGAGCCTTCTACTTTCCATATCCTGCTCTCCCACGCCTGCAGAGCTCCCGATTCGTCTCTCTCGAGTGTCCATCAAGTCCTCAACCTCATGGTGAACAGTGGCGTTGCGCCTAATCAAGCGACCACCGATATCGCCGTCCGGTCTCTCTGCGAATCGGGTCGGGTCAGTGAAGCCATGGACTTGATGAAGGAGCTCACAAAGAAGCACGCGCCTCCAGACGCATATACTTACAACTATCTTCTGAAGCAATTGTGCAAGTCTGGGCCTTTGCTTTTTGTTTATGATTTCATCGACGAGATGTTGAAAGATTATGAGGTGAAGCCAGACCTCATCAGCTTCACAATCTTGATTGATAATGTCTGTAACTCTAAGAATCTGAGGGAGGCAGAGAACTTAGTCAGTGCCTTGCGTCGTGCTGGGTTTAAGATGGATTGTTTCGCCTATAACACCATCATGAAAGGCTACTGCACAATGAGCAAAGGGAGCGAGGCGGTTGGTGTTTACAAGAAGATGAAGGAAGAAGGTGTTGAGCCTGATCGTGTTACTTACAACACTCTGATATTCGGATTGTCAAAATGCGGGAGAGTTGAGGAAGCGAGGAAGTATATGGAAACCATGGTAGAATCGGGGTATGAGCCAGATGCTGTGGCTTACACGTCGCTGATGAACGGGATGTGTAGAAAAGGCTTGACTTTAGGTGCGTTGAGCTTGCTAGGAGAGATGGAAGCAAAAGGGTGTGCCCCAAACGACTGCACCTACAACACTCTGCTTTATGGGATGTGCAAGGCGAGGCTATTGGACAAAGGGATTGAGGTTTATGGGTTGATGAAATCAAACGGCGTAAAGCTTGAGAGTGGTGCTTATGCCACGCTTGTGAAGACTCTGGTTAGGAGTGGGAAGGTCGCAGAGGCTTATGCAGTTTTTGATTATGCAGTTGAGAGCAAGAGTTTGACAGATGCTTCTGCGTACTCCACGCTTGAAACTACCTTAAAATGGCTGAAAAAGGCGAAAGAGCAAGGCTTGGCTGTTTAAGTGGTATTTTTCTAGCTTGAGCTTTTACAGACTTTCCTCTTTGTGCAAGTCCTGTTTCTTTTTGAAGTGTTATCGCTCCAAAGGGATGAATTTGATTCGTCATATGAAAATGAACAGTTGATTCTTGATGAACCAGCAATTGATGACAGTAGGTGGTTTAACTATGATGGTAATAATATTCAGTAGTTTTCAGCGAAAGATTTTGCCTTTAGTGTCATATATACTCTGTTCTGATGAGCTGTTGTGAATGTCAATGATTGGTTATTGATCTTTCCTCAGATTGTTGCTTGAGAGATCAGCAAAATAACAATTGTGTTGACAACTAGGCACACCGGTTCGAGGTAAACCATTCAAGAATATCTGAGCTTATGCCACATTTGTGAAGGCTCTGGTTAGAAGTGGTAAGGTCGCGGAGGCTTATGAAGCTTTTGTTTATGCAGAGAGAGTTGATAACAATTGTTTGATAGATGCTTCTGCTTACTCTACACTTGATACCACATTGAAATGGCTAAAAAAATTCGACTTTCTTCTTTGGGTAAATCCTGTTTCTTTTGTGTATACTCGAAAGGATTGAATTTGAATACGTTATATCAAAATGAACATTTAATTCTTAAGAGAACCAATATTGATTAATCATTAATGACAATAGGTTGTTTAACTATGTTGGTAATATTATTATGAGCTGAGATCTTTAAAGTGATTATTGGTTTATAGATCTTGCTTTGACCATTTACGCGCACCGGTTCGTGGGAAATCAAACAGTATAATCTGAATAAAGAATGTCTAATAGTTTATTTTTATGTTATGTTTTAACACTAAGCAGAGCCAAGTGCAGAGTATTGTGAAATTTTCGGTTGAATTACAAACCATATTACTGAGAGACAAGAAAACAGAGGACAACGTTGGTGTGGAATCATGAAGAAGATTTACAAAAAGACGAGTGTATTAAGAAACGGATAATAATCATCCATTTTGATTTTGTCTCTATTGATGTCACTGACATACTACTCCTTATAAATAGGGTTACTCAGTTGATGTAATTAGACACACCGAGAAGCAATCAAAAGGAATCATACTTTTCCCTTCTCGTATACACACCCTTTTATATTAAAACTAGATTAGGACTCGTATTCGTATATATACTAATTTGAAAATTTATAAATAATAAATTGAAAACAAAATAACGGTTTTAATTATATTTGATTTTTTGTTAGTTAAAATGTTTATAGCATGTATTAAATTTTGATTAATTGACTACATATATTTCAATCATTTTAACTTAGACTGTGATTTTTATATACACTAATATATATTAACAATTACATAATTCATTAAAAAGAAATTGAATATGAAAAAGTAAAAAACAAAATTAGATCAATGTGAACATTAAAAATTAAGATTGAGAATATTTTCGCAAAACCACTTATAATAGAACTGATTGAAGAAACTGACTTTCTTCTTCGTTCGATGTTTACTTTTATATTTTTCACAAATATAACTAACATGAAAAGCTAAAAAATAAAATTAGATCATCGTGAACATTTAAAAAAAATAAGATTATGAACATTTTTTCAAAATCACTTATAAAAGAACCGATTAAAGAAACTGGTTTTCTCATTCATTCTATATTTATTTTTATATTTTTCACAAATATGAATGAACATAAAAAAGTATTAAAAAAATTAGATCACTGTGAACATTAAAAATATGATTGAAAACATTTTTCGCAAAACCACTTATAATAAAACTGATTAAAGAAATTGACGTTCTCTTTCATTCTGTATTTACTTTTATATTTTTCACAAATATAATTTTTCTCTAACAAACTCTCAACCAAAATCTCATTTGATGAAATCGTATCAGAGCAAAATTAACTTTCTCCATGATTTTGCTTCTGCAATTCTGATTGTTTTTTGTCGCTTCATTAATTTTTCATCTTATCCAATTGATCCGAGTTTAAGAGATGAATCAGCCTAGAAAAATTATAAAGATCTTTATGTATTTATAAAGATGTGAGTAATAATTTTTTTTTATCTTTTAGGATTAGTCTTTATTTTTTTTAAAACTGTTTTTCCTTTTGTAATTGAAATATATAATATTTAATTTATTTTTAATATATTTATTTTCAGATATTGTAGTAGTTATATTTTTTTATGTTTTAATATATTCCTTTTTAGATATTGTAGTAGTTATATTTTCTTATTATTATTTTTTAATAATTATGATATTTCTTTTTTAAATTTATGTTTTATTTTTTAATTTAATTACGACACATATCAAATTCTTAATCGAAAAGTTTGATATGTGTCACGATCATGTGAATTACTAACATATAAAATTTGCTAAATATTTTAAAGGAAAATTGGCTTTCTCTTTTATTTTGCTTCATCGATTCTGATTGTTTTTCATCGATTTATCAGTTTTTCATCTTATTTCTTTGATTCAAATCTAAGAAAAAAATCAGTTTAGTAAAATTATAAGAGATGTTATATGTTTATAAAGATGTAAGTAATATTTTATTTTTCTTTTAGGATTGCTTTTGTTTTTTTTTAAGTTTCATTTTCTTAATTGAAATATATTATTATTACTATTTTTTTCTTTTAGATATTGTAGTGGTTATATATATATATCTATATTTTTTTTAACAATAGTGATATTTCCTAAATTTAGATTTATTTTTAATTTAAAATTATAAGAGATTTTATATGTTTATAAAGATGTGAGTAATATTTTCTTTTTTCTTTGGGGATTATTTTTTACTTTTTTGAAAAAGTCTCTTTTTCTTAATTGATATATTATTATTATTATTATTTTAATTTATTTCTTTTTTAGATATTGTAGTAATTATATTTTTTTTTACTTTTTTAATAATAGTGATATTTTCTAATTAATATTTATTTTTAGTTTAATAGCAATACATGTTAAAATCTGAATCAAATGATTTGCCACATGTTACAATCATATGAATTATTAACTTTAATGCATCAAACTTTATATAATAAGATAATATTAGGTTTTCAGTTGCATATATATTATAAATTATTCAATATATATTTTAATTAAATAATTTTTACATTACTTAACATATAATAGTAGTTTTTTTTTATAAAAAAAAATTCCAGGAAGATGAGCCCTATGCCTTCAAATCCCTTAGGGTGCTAGATTGTAGTTAGAAAAATATGAAAATGAAATAATGCTTTCTTTTTTTAAATAAGCGAACACAAAATTTACAACTCAAAAGACGTGAAACATTGTGGTATTGCTCTTTTATATATCACTAGGTAATGGGCGCGTATACATCCGGATTGATATTTTATTATATATTTTTAGATTTATAGTTAATAAGAATTTATATGTTTAATATAGATATCTGAATATTTTTATTTGATTTATTGTTATATAAATATGTATTTATGTTCTCAGATTTATAGTTAACTATATTAACTATAGTTTGGATGTAAAACATATAAATCTAAAACACATATTTTTATTTGATTTATTGTTATTTTTTATTATTAAATATTTATATAATGTTATTATTAATACATAATTAATTATATATAAATAAAATATTTTCAATATATAACATTAATGTTTATATCCAACACAGTGTAGGCCGATCACTTAGTTAAAAATTTAAACAAAAGAACACTACGGAAAAATAGACACATGAGGAAGAAATATTCGTACCAAGAGGTCCAAGAATACAAGATTCTTGTACCTTTATTGCAAACGCATAGATTTTTCAATCTACAGCTAATACCTAGTTTTATACTTGACTAGAGCATCTTATATATACATACTTCTATATTCTACGAGCTGTCTTGTTCTAGTATATCAAGCAGATCTTTTAATGCCAACGATGCAGAAGAGAATAATGGCGACAAAATATTAAGAATAATCAGGAAGTTTGACATTGCCGGATTCATCACAACAGAGAGATAATGAACTAAACACGGTGACCATGGTGCAAAGATCATCACTTCAATAGGATTTTAAATAACTCTTGGCATCAATATCATCAAAAGTGTATTTTTGGATGCTCAAGAGATTATTAGATTTTCTTAGTATGAGTGTCGACTCGAAGCAATCAACGATGAGCTGAGTATGACAACTCCACCAGTACAAAAGAGATGTAGCTTTCGTACAAAATAGCTTTCGTTTAAACTATTGTTAGAGAAGACGACATGGGTATACTGCAATCTAATTCTGACCCTCTAATTCTATATCAAATTATCCAAAACGAATTTATTCCATGTTCTTGTTGATAAACTATGGACCGTTTACATTCATGGACCATTTCTTTCAATACTGATTGATTTAAAGTAAGAAGCATATGATCCTTCCCAATTTTCAGTTATGTAGTAAATAATTCTAAAATAACTTAATCTGCTTGACTTCTGTAGTTTTTGGTTTTTATATATTTTAAGCTGTGGAGGCATATCTCATAACGTTTTTTTTTTTTTTTTTTTTTGCTTAAATATTTCATAACTTTTACAAGAACACCTGACACTTTACGTAGAAAATGCACATAATCAATGTACTTTTGCAATATTACCGTGAGAATTGTTTTACTGATGAAAACTAGTTTTGAAAGTAACTCGTATAGGTAACAAATTGATCTTCAATCTGAACAAAAAATTAAAGCAAATGATTAACTTCAAAATCAGAAAGAAAACTTCAAAGCTATATATAGATGATTAATTAGCAAATCAATTTATATTCTTTTCCAAAGTGTTTAGTTGGATAAAGCAAATTTAGTTTTGGAAATACACTAGGGACCTGATATGGCGCCACAAGAAATACTCTTAGAAAAAAATGTTTTTTTGAGATCTACACCTTATACAATGTACGTAATATGATTGAAATTTCTTTGGATGCATGCAATAATAGGATGCGTACACGATCTACAAAAAAATTAAAACACTATTTGCGCAGCTTTAACACGTATACACAGTGCCGAGGAATAATTACGTTCTCATAAATAATATTAAAAGAGTAAGTGTTATAAAATTATTTATTATATAAGTGAGATATAAGTACAATATTGTATATATAGGTATGAAGTGTGTGTCTTTGGAAAGAAAGAGAGAGGAGGGAAAGTGAGAGAGAATAGGAGAGATAGTCTTGTCTCCTTTATTAATGTAATGATCGTAAGTATTTTTTATTACAAACTGGAGAGGAGGGTTTATATAGTGGGAGAGAGAGTTATAATGTTTATAGACAAAAACTTAAATGGATAAACATTAATGTTTAGAGACAAAATATTATTTCTTAATATTTCTCTGTAATTATTCATTTTAGTATTATATACTATTTCGTTAAAAATTTTATTATAGAAAAATTTGTTTGAGATAAAAAATTATGACAGAAAAAAAGTGCAGTAATACTTTCTTTCGAAATGATGGATATAATTTTTTTTAAAAAAATCTTGTAAGTGATATATTCCGATACTGTAAACATGTTTTCTGAATGTTGTAGTGGGAAGCGCTTTCATAAATAGATCTGCTGCGTTGTCGCATGAACGAACATATTGAATATCCACTTCTTGATTTTTTTTGAAATCTTTTGTGTAAGAGAAAAATATTGGAAGGATATGTTTCGTTCGATCACTTTTGATATAACATTCCTTAAGTTGAGCAACACATGCAACATTATCTTCAAATAATATTGTTGGCTCTTTCTTTGTTTCTATACCGCTTGCATCTTATATATGATGAATTATGGATCTAAGCCA